TATATATATAGTGATAGTCTGTCATATAATGCATATGGTTTTAGCACCTGAGTTACTTCACTGTTTATTGAAGAGCATCAGATAGACATGTCAATTCTGAAGACTGACATGCCTATCTGTTACAAGGCTTAAAAAAGGGCATTTTAAACCTAAAACTGATGCACATGATTCACATATTTATCTATTACACTGCCTAAAAGGGTGTGTTTTTAAGCACAAACTTAGGCTGATAACTTCAATAAACTACACTTTAGGTGCTGCAACTGCTATTGTTTCTTCTATATACCCAGAGAAAGGGATAGAGAAAGAGCCACAGAGAAAAAGATGAAACAATAAATAGGCAAAATAGATGAACTCGTTCTTTCTGCTGTCAGTCATGCATCCATTACTGTACTAGATGGCTTACATGCAAAGGAAAAATTGAGAAATAATTGACGATGAAATGCAGCGTGACTAGCGCACACAATAGAATGGAAGGCACAATAGTATAAGATTTCTTTGTGCTGCTGGATGCATGTACATTGTTAAGTGACAACATAGTAGTTAATAGATGCAGAAAGATATCAACCTAGAGTCTGTGAATGCTGAATTTAAAAAAACGCAAGTTAACTGCTATCAACATACTGAAGGGAAAAAGAAGAGCACTTTGACTTGATTGAAAACACACAGGGAATAACAATGTTCATGAGGTGTTAGCTAAGTGTTGGCTTTTGTAATATAAAAAGTGATTCATGGAGGCATTCATGAAAATAGTAAAATCAGAATCACAGCTATAATTTATAGAACTGTTTAAACAATGAGAGTAAATACCTAAATGACTGTTATAGTCAAAGTTGCCCTTTGTTTACAATGACTTGTGTGGGCTTTAAAATGCAAAATAGAAAATTAATCTAAATCTGGTTGGTTTATAAAGTATACTCTTATTTGTATATCATTACCCTTTACTGTGTATTATTGAATAACCCAAATGGCATCTCTTGCCATTGTTGTTGTTCTTGCAAAGGAAAACCGACGGCAGATGTAAGAACACCTTCTACTATGGGGCCCTTGGTTACAGTAATAAATATTATGAAAAAACACTAATGCAGATATTTATTATTACAAATTGTATTAAAAAATACTGCTAGTATAACAAATAACATTTGTCTTTGAATTAACTGACCAGAAAGCTGTGGAGGCAGAAATCAGCCAAAAAAACTTAAAGTAAACTTGTTGCAAACCTTTAAACTGTGAATATAAAAAAATCATAATCAGAGGTTAACTTCAGCAGATTCAGCTGAAGTTATATGCAAACTTAGACTTTTCTTTAAGAGTACAGATTGGGCTCCCCTCTTCTTATCTTCCAAGCCTCTCTACTAGTCCTTCAATGTGGCTTGAGGGCTCACTGACTAACTATATGTGACCTACTTTTACTGGAAAGTTAAAATGTACATATGGTAATATTTTGGCATTGGTACATGTCCCCTATGGTAGTAAACAGCTTCCCATGCCTTTTTTTTTTTCTACATCCGATTGCCTATTAGCCTTAAAAATGGCCAGAATGTACTAACAAGACTGTTCATACCCTCATATACTGAAATAGGATTCACAGCCAAGGTCAGGCTCCAAAAACCCCATGCGAATTCAACCCTGGTAGGTTTGCTCATCACTATTTGGGAGAGAAGGCTGGGCAGGAGTGGGCACACAGAAGCATGCAGATGATTCTGAGTCATATTACCAGGCCAATATAGACTAGTGAGGAAAATGTAGTAACTCAGAACTTTATATGTGTAGAATAACTTAAATATGAGATGCCTAAACACAGGAGAGCATAATATACATACTGTATATTAGCACCGTTTACATGTTTCAGATGATATATGAGGATATAGAATGATGTAGAAATGTTGTACATACCTGAAAAGCAGTCACAGTTTGGATCAATCTTACAGTCACAGTCTGTTGGGGCCCCAACTAATGTGGACATTTCTCCATTTGTGGTGACTTGCTGTATTCTGTTAATCTTCCTCTCATCTGTTTCAGCAATGTACAAGGTTCCACTGTGCGACACAGCAATGGCTCGAGCAGATTCCAAGGTAGAGTGAATCGCTACTTTGCTAACCAGGAAATAATCTATTCCAGGAACCTGGCAGTGAATTGGCCTGCCAGCAATAATTCTTACTTGATTATTATCAGAAATTTGGAGCACAATATTATTGTCCAAAACATATAATGAATTATCCATAGGATTGACTGCTAGATCAGTAGGCCATTCTAGTCGAACCTGTAATGGACACAAGAGTAATTGTCAATGTATACACTCTTTTAGTCGCTTGATAGACTGATATAATGTGCCGCATTGCATATTCAATTGCAGTTTATTAAAACCAGCAAGGAGTACATTTTAATTAGACTCCAGACAGAAACTGGTAAAAAGAAACAATTAGATGTCATAAGACAAAGCACCATATGCAAGCTGCAGTAACCCAACCAGCCAACAACCAGGTCTGCTTGCCATTATGTGCTACAAGATGGTCTTAAACCTCAATCAACCAACCAGGACCTGGCTTGTAACAGTTTAGAATAAACAAGTAATGTTGATTTGTGCTGTTTTTCTTTTCCTTGCTGGTATTTTCATTAACAGTAAATAGGTTGCATTTTACTTCAATCTTGTTTTATGAAAACAATAAAGCAAACTGTCTCCTGCTAGTTTTTACATAACATGCAAAATAATAATATTCAGAGAAAGGGCACATTGAAATATAGGAAAAAAAGGAAAACATCTGTCCCTATTTGTTAATAAGTTGCATACATTACATAGTTACATAGTATTTGAGGTTGAATAAAGACCTAAGTCCATCATGCCTAACCTATTGGTGATGTGTTTTAAATCTATTTAAATCTAAGTCACATGTAAAGTTACACTGGAAATAGACAGAGGTTCAATCTTTAAAGAGAACATGTCACAATTGGAATTATTCAAAAACTGCATCATATTCAGTCTCAAATATAATTTGCAGAATTATGTAAAAATGTTCTTATTTACTTAAATTAACTTAATTTAAAGCATGTGTAAACAAAATCACTACAATCTCATATAAGCAAGCTTTAAGATGTTAAGATTGTTTCAAAAGCAATTAGCAATATTTTCAAATATGCAGCAATAACATTAAATCAATTTAAAATACCAAGGGGTCTATTCACAAAGTTGCCGAAGGATCTAGCCGTAGCTTCGGCTGATCCTTCGGCCCCAGGACCCCTTCGGTTCAGTAAAACTGAAGGGCTGCTGTAGGGCTATTCACTATAGCCCATTAGGCTCCCGAACTTGGCCGAGCGGCTCAGTCAAGCCGAAGGCATATGCCTCGGCTTGACTGAGCCGAGGTGAAAGCTGAAGCTGGCCAAACGGCCGGCCGACAGCCTTCTTCTGACAGCAATCGGGTGTCTCCAGAGACACCCGATTGCTTGTATTACCTGCAGCTGTTACTGCCGTTGCCGGCATGGCTCTGTGACAGGAGATCAAAGGGAGTTCAGTATACGAACTCCCTTTGATCTCCTCTCAGTCCCCGAATGCAGGAAGTGATGTATATTACATAATTTCCTCCATTCAGTGTCACTCTCCAGCTACAGAAGCTGATGAAGCAGATCTCTGCTTCATCAGCTTCTCTGGGGGTCAATAGGTGACATTAGGGGTCTTGGAGACCCCTGATGTCTCCATAAAGAGGACCAGTCATGTAAATTGGCTATTACATAGGGGGATTCTTAGCCCTCCATGTAATAGCAATAAAGCTGTGTGTAAAAAAAAAAAAAAGTAATACTAAAATTAGAGAATCATAAAAAAATGAAAAAAGAAAAAAAAATGTAAGTCCCCGCCCCCCACATACACACGCAGATATGCGTCGTGTGCGCATTCGTGCAAAAACAACGATTGCGCCTATTGTGCCGCACATGTTAAATATCGCCGCAAACGTCGGAGTGAGAGCAATCATTTTAGAGCCATTATTTACTGATAACACTAAACTGATGAGCAGTAAAAGTGTTTTAATCGGCGCCTATAGGCGTATTTTGCGGGCACACAAAATGTTAAGGCTTGACATGTTTGGTGTCTATTTACCCGACGTGACCCTGCCTTTTATATTTTACTAAAAATATGGGTAAGAATAAATATTTTATAACAGAATGTAGGGAAACTTTTTTTTTTTTACATTTAGGTACTTTTTTTATTATATAGTAAAAAAAAATAACCCCCCCCCCCATGGTGATTATATACCTCCAAAAGAAAGCACTATCTGTGCTTTCTTTTTGCAAGGCTATAGTCCGGTCATGCTGACTGCTGAATTTTTTGACTGACTGGTGAGACACCATCAAATTTTTCAAGCCCTGGTCATTACACACTGAGAACCCGGCAGGGCCGCTATGATATCACAATGGCCTTTCCGGGTTCTCAGTGTGTAATGACAGATGGCGTCCTTGTTTACCTGGTAACCAGGGACGCTGATCTGTCATTACTCTCCCAGACGCTCCGGGAGTCTAATACGGCTCCCGGCCGCCCAGGAGAGAAACACTTTTTCCCAAAAAGGTTTACTCTGCTCGATCGAGCAGAGTAAACCTTTCCTTGCGATCTGTCCGCCTGACCGCCCTCAGTCAGAAAAAAAAGAAAAACCAGCATGGGAATGCATAGCTAGATTCCTATTGGCTATTTCACTTTGCAATAGCCAATGGCAAACTAGCTATTGCACCCGCCCACTTCTGGTGATTGACAGCAGCAGAGGGCGGGTGCAATAGCTAGTTTGCTATTGGCTATTGCAAAGTGAAATAGCCAATAGGAATCTAGCTATGCATTCCTATGGTGTTTTTTTTTATTCTGACAGCAGCAGAACCGCCTGGCCAATAGAAAACGGTTGGGTGGAGCTAGCTATCACTGCTGGCTCCGCCCAATCGTTTTCTATTTATTTTTTCTACTTTTTAACTGTTTTTCTATTGTGCTCGGTACCACAGAGGTACTGGGCAGAATAGCCAAGCTGATGTACAGCTGATTTTAGTCGGTGTACGGCTGAAATCAGCCATACAGGCCTGAAGTGAATAGCCGAACAGCGTTCGGCTCACTTCACTTTGGGTCGGATATTCACTCAGCTGCCTACGGCAGCTTTGTGAATAGACCCCTTAGTGTTCCTGCCTTTAAGCTTTTGGTTCAGGCACTTCCTGTTACACATAGAGAGTACTTTATCCGTGGCTCACAATCGTGCACTTGCATTGTCATTTGTCCCAGATGCTTCCATGGGTGTGCGCAGAGTATGATAAAGTGGCTGCTTTAGTACATTTGACACATACATGGTCCACTGCTGTTACCATCTGAAAATCCCATAAATGGTGGCTGCTTTAGTACATTTGACACATACATGGTCCACTGCTGTTACCATCTGAAAATCCCATAAATGGCATGTAACTATCACAGAAGTGCATATTTGTAGACAAGAAGTGCATGAAAAAAGGCTGCAGAGACCTTCAGCGCCGAGATGCAACAATGGATGAAAAAACAATATTTTATAGAAAAACAGACAAACATTTACAATACAAACCACTTTAGGAAACTAAGTTCAGTTAGGGCCTGTTCACACTACCATGAAAATGCTCTGTTTAAGCAGGTGAGCTAGTGTGTTGTGACAGCTCCGGCAGTGTGCAGTGTGATGAACTGTTCCAGCACATCACATTATTTAATTTTCTTTATTTGGAGTGTTCAAACAGTACACTACATTCAGATCCTCGGAATGTAGTACGGTGTGCAGTCACCTGAGGTGCAGTCCATTGTGCTGCAAAAGGATGAAGCATGTCTGCAGATCACACCGTGAAGACAGGACACATAAAAAACAATTGTTTTCTACGTGCCCTTGTGGTGACTGGCGTTGTTCACTTGCTGGAAAACCCTTTGTCACCACATATAGTTTAAACGGGCCCTTAAGGTTTACATCACATAATAAACACTGAATATTGAGATTCTTGCATACTCCAGGTCCTGGCTGTTCCTCAGGCCCAGAGAATGCCTCAAAAGCATCTTCTAATAACAGAGCCAAACTAGAGATATTGATTATGAAACAGATAGATAAGGAGATCTTAGCTCACAGAGATGGCTGTCCTTCCAAATACAAATACTAATAGGACAATAAATAAGGAATTGTGAAAAGGCACAAAACTTTTACACAAAGCAGCATGCTTAATTCAGAGCAGTGCAGCTGACAAATTATGCTGCTCTCCAGTGGTTTTGTTCTTAATGATCCAGCCTTGTTGTTAACAAACTATGTGAGACCAGGGAGAACACAGTCTAAGTAAAATCAATGCAATAAAGAAAGGCAGACAAGAGCACAGCCGAAATAAAACTTCTCTTCAAAACAAATGGCCAGTTAAGCTTTCCTTTCTGCCCATATTGTATTACATATCCTCTACTGTGTACAGACTACAGCACATGTTATAAATCTTGAATTGTTTTAACCCTTTAATGGAATGTAGATTTTCGATTATGCAGCGCCAACACAGAAAAATATACTATATAATGTGAACAAATATTAGTGACTGTACAATGTAATGTGCATCGTGATAAATAAATGGATATGAAGGCTGCAGCAAAAAAAGACCGCACGGGTCAAAGCATAAAAATTTTCGATTATGCAGCGCCAACACAATGGTAAATTAGTGATTAATTATATAACATGAACAAACACCATTAATTATATAATGTGAATAAGTGTTATTCAGCAAAACTAAATCAAATACATGTGAAACTGTGTCCACTTTAGAAAAAATTGAAAAAAAAAAAATTTGAAAAAAATAAAATACAGAGTGAAAAAGTCCGAGTGTTGTGTATTTCTTTTTTTCAAACACGTGAATAACAATAAAGTGTTCCAAGCATGAGAAGGTTGTGAATTCAGGAAACAGTTCCGTGATGTTTGTTTGGGGATGCCGGCAAATGCCGTGTAAATCCCCTCAGGGTATATACTCACCACAATGTAGTGGCTGTGGTAAGCAGCCTGAAGAGCTTTTAGATAAATGAATTCTCCTGAAGTTGTGGTGTCCCCGCTGCAACTCTCGACGGTCTGTGACCGGTAAATGGTTTATGTTCGGGATCATACAAGAAAAAGACTCTGACCTGCTAAACCCCTGAGGACGTCGATAAGACGAAACGCGTCGGGGTGGGCCAAACCTCACGCTACACCAGATACAGGATTTTGTAGTTTTGCCGATCGGAACATTTTTCTTTGATTTTTTTTCGTTTTTTGCCTGTGGATTTCGTTG